TTCATTGCTGTTTCTGCTGTGGCTGCCCTGTCCATTGCTTGTGACTCCGAAGGTTGCTTTGTTGCTGCCTCCTCTGAAGGAGCCTTTGCTGGTGGTGCATGTTCTACGTGTGGTGCTGCTGCAGCTGTTGCTGGTTGCCTGCTCAGTTTGTTGGAGGCGTCTTCTTCAGCATCATCATGGTGCTGCAATGCTACGAGAGGTACCTGGAGCTCACTTTGAACTTGCCGAGTGTGAGGAAACTGCTCTGATGGGGCTGACTCTGTGATAGCTGGCTGTGGATGCTCTTGCTCCCCCAGCAAGAGCAGCTGGATGCTGCTTGTAGAAAACTCTGGAGTAACCTTGGCAAAGGAAAACGCGAGCTGTCAAATACCCCTTGCGTATAATATATATATATAATACATATATATTTATATAGGCAGTAAAACAATATATATATATAGATAGAGAGGTGAGGTAATATTGTGTATGCTTCGCATATGTGCAGCAACCCTTTGGAATTCACACCAGCCCTCAAACAAAGCAAGCCAAACTTGAGACACAAAAGGTATGCTGGACAACCCTTTTCACGGTGATACACACGCTTTTATAAAATAATGGATGCTGACCAGGAACCCTTGCCGGCAAGTGTAGCGTTCCTTTCTGCTCACGGCTAGCAGGAACCAGCAAGCAGTAGTGTCCGTATGCATCCTGGTTTGCTACAGGCCTCTTGAAGTGAAAGTACAGGTGGATTTGAGGTTCATCCGGGCCAAAGATCATATCCAAATTGAGTCCATTTGAAGTTCCAACCTGCAACACACCACACTTAGAACATCCCAGAAAGTCTCAGATAACATTAGAGCATGCCTTTGCAAAAAGGTAATAGACATATGACACATATGTGCACAGAACAAGCACCGGGCATGTTTGTTTCAACTTGCCCAGCCTGGGAGCAGCACGTGCAACGGATGGAGATGCTGAGAGCTTGTGCTATCCACTCCAAGTCAACCGGTGCAAAGTAGCCAGTGTTTTCCACTGATTGGATTGAAGCAGCATGACCCGGGAAAGCATCATATGCAGCTGCACACACAGAAGCACAAAGTCTTTTTGCAGCAGCTTCCTCCTGCTGTAGTAGCCTCGGGTTGAGAGGATACATCGTGTCCTTGCGAGGCACTTGCAAATACCTCTGCACATTTTGGGCTGCCAGCATGGAATGCCAACCACACCAGCCATCAGCAATTGTCTCAACCTGCTGGAAGCGTGACATCTTCATTTCATTTTGGCGCTTTTCTTTCATGAGTATATCAGTCTGGGACTTGAGGTGCTTCAGGACTGATGCGCAAACTTGCTTCGCAGTAGCTTCAATATGTGAAGTCCCCAGGTCATTGATCCAACATATGTTGTAGCAATGCCTTTTGGTTCTGTCCTTTGGCTGGGTCACCCAAGAAGCAGAGACTGCCTTCATTGATCCCTCATCGGTCAACTCCCAGCAAGCTAAATCACCAGCACAGTTTGTTGAGAAGTCGACTGTCACCAGCAATGGGGTAGAGGAATCAAGCATGTCAAAAACCTGCTTCTTATTTCCTGGCGCGGCCCATTCATCAAAAGAACCCACCACTACAGCTCCGACAAAGTGCAAGTTCAATGCCTTGCAACGCGCAGCCACTCGATCATGTTCAACCAGCTCTTCTACACTTGTTGTTGAGAGAACAAATTGCATTGCATGCACTTTGGAGTTCCATGCCACTTTGCCCAACAACAGTGCGACGGTGGAAGGATTTGATGCCGCCAAAGTGCAGAAAGAATTGGGGCTCCCTCTGTGAATGCATACCGCTGACATAGGAAGAGGGGCTGTGTGCATTCGCGTAACTTGCAGGAAGTCCTTTGTGATGTCAGTCTCAGCATTCTCCAACTTTGGACTGCCCTGCAAAGCCTCAACAGCGGATGGGAAAGCTTCTGCTGGTTGACTTGACATAGCCTTTGTCAGGCTTACCTCAGCTGCAACCTCCTTGGCTGCAGCACGAAAGCTCTTTTCGATCCCTCCATGTTTGAGAGACTCTGCCATGCTCAAAAGCCAATCTCCAGCAGCTTTGTAGGTATCAAAAGTCTTTGTGATGATGGTATCACCTGCATTGAAACTGACACGTAGTTTTCCAAGAGGTTTACCAACCTCAACTTCAGCACAGCCAGTCATTTGTTCCAGCTTTGTTGCCTTCAAAATGGTTTTCTCAACCTCCAGCACAAGACCATTGGCGCACCTGTCCATCACGTTTTGCCGTTGCCTAGCCAGTGCTCCGGCTGTTGAAAAGCCATGCTTGGCCTGCCATTCTTGTCGAATCTTTGCCTCACATGAGCGTGAACAGGAAGGTGCGCACATATATACTCTATACTGTATATATATATATATTATATACATATACATAAAGCTAGGTGTATATTTACTCAATATTCCAGCTCAGCCAAATAAAACATGCTCAGTACGAGGCAAACATGTTTGATGAAGAAAGCCGATGGGCTTTGCCCTTGCCCTGCATGCTGTCAAATGTAGCCAACAAGTCCTGGCACACATTGAAGAAGGCCAGGGCTGCATTCTTTGCAGCTTCAGGGGTGCAAAACGATGCCTTCTGAAACTTCCGAATGTGGCAATCAAAGCGCACCGAATACCTGAGATTCCATCCAGGGAGATACACTTAGAACATAGTCAGGAAGGTGTGATTTCTCATCAATATGAATATGTTTGATCTTGGCTTCCCTTCCGGAGGTAATAAAGGATTGTATCTATATAATGGCCAATGTCTCTAGTAAAGCCTTTCAAATGTATATAAGGCTGCTGTTCATTTATGTTTGGATGTCTTTGGGAGAGGGTGTCCCAAGAAATAGCAAGGGTGAACACACACACACACTTAGAACATTCCCCAAAAAAGGCTCCCGGACCAGATTATATACAAGATGGGTGTCAAAAAAATGTGTGTGTGTATATATATATAGCTGAAGGATTTTGCTCCAAGTTTCCCATATTGGAACGATTGAACGCCCTTCGGAAGCACGTCAGGCTCGGGGGGAGGTGGCTCCACAGGTGGCGGAAGTGGTGGCTCCGCCGCCATGGAAGTGAGGTTGGGCAAACAGCTCAAGTTGCCGCTGAGCCAGAATGCTCCATGAGCAAAAAACATCCCTAGCACTTCATGTCTCCAGCACCAAACACGCCACCGCTCTTAGGTTTGAGGCCATCGCTCTTGGGTTGGAGGCCATAACTCTTAGGTAGGAGGC